CACAAACATCGAGAGACGCTGCTTTAAAAGGAGAAGCACTGGTGAGGACACAGTTTAAAGAAGATCCTTACGGATGTAAAGGCTCTCTCCGTCGCAAGAAGCTTGGTCGTGATCCATTTCATCGCTCTATCCCTTATCCCAATGGATGTCCTGAAATTGAAGGTTTGTTCAGATATTGTGGAACAGCTCCATATCCAGGTTCCCTACCTTGGGCTTAAGTAGAATTTCATAGTTCTAAAAAAATCAGAATATAGCAGTAGAAAAACTTATATCATAAAATATATATTCCTTCTTTTTCTATTACTTCTTCATGTATTCTTTCATGTTGTTCCTTGTACTAGTTGTGTTATATTAGAATAGCAAAAAGGAACTAACCTGTCTACTAGTGTAGAGAAATAAAAGGGCTTTTCTGTCTGGTTTACAACATCTTGTTGAAACTGAACCTGAGTATATACTAAATATACATAGCGTATATAGTAAAGAAAATCGCGAATTTAGATTATTCTTTTTTATTAAGAATAGGAAAATATAAATATTTGCCTAGACTTTCAGTTTGGTTAATATTGAGAAGTTGGTGGATTTGCATTTTGAAACTTAAGACAAATTGAAAACTGACTTACACTCTCAATTTTCCTTTTCCTTCCGGCCATTTCGAAAAAAAATGTGGTAAAAAGCCAAAAATCTGTAAAATTAATAATGAATGTAATTGTAGGTTATAGACATGTTATTTAGGTAAACAATGTAAATATAGGGAGTTTTTTTTTTTAACTCGTGAGATATAGTTAGATGTAATAAATATAATTTGATTAGTGAAAAGAATAAGGAAAAAATTCAAAAAATGAGATGCAATATAAATATTTTGTTTAGGTAATATAAATGTGTCATACCACCTTATTACTCTAGCTTTAGTATATATTATAGATCTGAATTATTCAAATTATTGACATCTTACTTGGTGTTAAAATTGAGATCTCTAGACGATGAGAATTGTGAAAAAAAATAATATTTGAAACAATTTTTTTTTTTACTTTTTAAGCACAGTTGAACTATTTGAAATATATAAAAATATTTCTTAAAATGTTCTAATCAAGTGGTAAAAATTGAAAACTATTAAGTGATTAGAACTTTTAAGAGTAATATTGTTAACCATGAATATTTTCTAAAATATTATATAAGTTCTTATGAATGATAGAGATGCTACGAAATGGTTTAAACACCACGAAGTTCAAATAAAAAAATGTATGATTCTTATTATATAAATACGCATCACTTATAAATGTTTAATTTTCAGACACTAATTAGAATTCTAACTTCTGTTTGTATATGCATTTTTATTGATTATAGTACTTATTAGGGTCTAATTTTCAAGAGTAAAATGCTATAAAGAGAGATTACGTAGATAAATTAGACCCTAATAAGAAGTATTTTATAACTTCATGTCGTTTTCCCACAAAATTCATTGATAAAGGTAAGAATTCGACCCCTCAATCTTGTAAATTGTTCCTTTAAGCCTTAGAAACTAGAAGGTTAACATTAGAGAAAGGTTTCGAGCATGATTATATTTTGGTCATGATTGGGATTAGTTAGTAAACCAATTAAATCAATGGGTCAATTGTGATTGATTGTTGTTGTATTTTTTATTTTAGACCAAGAACATGTTAAGACACTTCACAAGGAGAAATTTTGGGCCATTAGGGTCATCAAGGGGATTAATTCGAGGTAGGTGATGATTATATGATTATGAGTTATGTATATATGCATGTTTATTGCTTATAGTGTCATATTGTAATACGAAGCATATAAAATGAACTTGTAGGTTCAAATGGTATTGTCCATTCTGTTATGTGATTATGCATGCTTGTTGTGCGTGTGATTTAGCATGATTGGCTCGAGTATCATATCGATGCAGAGTATTATTGATTGACTTAAATATCACACCTGATATGATACACTTCGATTGGATTTCGTGAGAGCATGGTCGTCTCAATCATAAGGCGACAAAAGCAATCACTTGGGGGCTCCATTTTCTCCCTAAAGATGTATGTATATATATTGTTAACAAAAATTTCATGTATTGATAAATTTAAAGAAAAAAAATTGAGAAATTGAATATTATTTAGTTGATTGTAGTTATTTATAATGTTTACATATATTCTTGTCTATCGAAACTTCATTTGTAAAATCACTCTAAGTATGTTATAATTATTCGATTTATATATTTATTAACTAAAAACGATAAGAACCTCTTTATAAAATTTAGTTTAGACTCTTTAAAATAAAATAAAATTTAGACCCCAAATTTATTGAGACGACCTAATATGTACTGGAGATTGTTGGGTTTTATTTGCACTGATTTCTTATCATAAATAGATTTTCCTTTTAGGAAAAGGTTTTAAATTGACTATTCTTTTTTGGTAGGAAAAGGTTTAGGACTCTATAAATAGAGGCATGTTCCTTCTAACTTAATTAGCATTCACAATGTAGTTTTAAGGGCTTTGCGAGTTTTGGTTAGAGGGAGAATTTGTGAACCTCTCATGTATTCCGAGTGAATTGGTTGAGGTTGTTTCCCTCTGTATTTTGTACTCTCATGTTTATAGTGGATTGCTCATCTCCTTTGTGGACGTAAGTCGATTGACCGAACCACGTTAAATCTTTGTATCTTTTGGTATATTTCTCGTTGTCTTTTTACTCGTGGTCTTGAGGTTTGCGTTGCTAGCCTGCGCGTTTACACCTGCTTATTTTCCGGTCCTAACAGAGATTCCACGAGAGAACTAATATTTGCATTGGTCAGTTTTTGTTTGTGATTTCATGTTACTTAACTGGCAATTTATGTACGTTTGGTAATTGTCATTATATTTTGTATTAATTTATGATTACTATTTGGTAATGAATTGCCACGGGAATCTATCAGTTCATAATGATTTGTAAAGATCTATACCGCTCCAAATGCTCCCAACCCTTTACAGTTTCTACATATTATCTCCTTGATTAAAATAAAATAAAATCATATAATATGAATAATTTTTTATTTTTTTTAAAAAATAAATGCAAATGAAATATACTTTAGAAAATAATATGAATTATAGAAGGAGCCATCAGAAACCAAAGTTCATCCCCAGAAGCTTTAGGCTATGGTACGGTCCGCATCATGGTTAGATCTGAAAAGATCCCATCACGCGGCTCCTCATTTTCAATGAAAAAGTCCTTTGAAATTCAAATAAACAAATAACAATGAATGAATAAAATTGGAAAAAATAAAATCATGAGCTCAGAAGCAAAATGGGTATGAGAAATTTGTCATCAATCAAAAAAATAATTAATTTTGTAAGAGTGGTGCATGACTTTCTTCAGATCTCATCACAGCTCTTCAAAAACCCAAAAAATATGGGAGGCGGGAAGAAGAAGATAAAAGAGGAAATGGAGAGGGCTGAGACATAAGTTTTGTTATTTGCTGCTGTTATTTATAAGGATAGAAAAAAAGGGGTTGAAACCCTAATTTGAGAGATTACCATCTTGTTCATCTCAATTCACAATATTACAATCTTTGAAAATGAGAAATATATTTTGACACCACTTCTGTTACTTTATTACACTTAACTCCAACTAATTCTAACTAAACCAATTTCCTACACTTTATATGGAATTTATGAACATGGAGTTTTATTTGAAGATATTTTTGGTAAGATTATAATAAAAATAATTGAATGTACTTTTTAAAGACATGATTTACACCCTTGAATTTTAGAAATAATGAATCATTCAACTTGACTAATTTATATGAAATATACAAATAAATCTATTCTAAAATAGATAATTACATATCAGAAAATTTAATTCATATTTAATTTTTTGCTTGAGATTTTTTAGCTTATATATAACTAATACATACCAAACCATTAGGTTAGCAATACATGGGGAATGGGTTATTAACACATGAATAAGTATAGATAAAGATAAAATTATCATAAATACACCAAATCAAACGGTAGATAACAAATAGGTTCAACATTACTAATACATACTTTATTTAATACTATTTTTATACATTCTATCAAACAATTCTAAAATATCATACTTATATCACATATATAAGGTACACACTATTATAAATATTTATACTTCATTTGAATTTGTTGAAGTTATAATAGAGATGATTATAACTTTTACAAATTAATACTTGGTTGTGTGAATATATTTTTACAAATTAATACTTGGTTGTGTTAATATATTATTCCTAAAAAACATGAGAAAATTTAAAGGTGGCCATCTTTGTATAAATGAAGAATGGTAAAATTTAAATTTAAAAATATAGTAGTTAAAGTGGAAAAAGTGAAAGGGAAAGAAAGGTTTTGGATGTTTTTCAGAAGTTGTATGTGAAATTTTATGACCAAAACTATGATTTTCAAATAAAGTAAATTTCTTTTTTGAGAAAGAAAAAAATTCTAATAGCCAAACAGGTGCGAGTGTGTTTGGATTGCATATATTTTTAAAAATTTAAGCATAGTGTACAATAAAATTTTAAAAAGTATATATTTAAAAACTTGTTTTAAATAAAAATAAATCAAAAATCATAAATTAGTATTTGTAATTTCTTGTTGTAAGCCCATCTAGGTTTCGGTAGAAATAATGATAACTTGAATTGTTTATAAATCACCAATAACAAAATTTTGAACAGTTTCAACAGAAAATAAATATAATGATGTGTGTATTCATGTGATTCATAAATGACAATAGTGAGAAAGTGGGAAAATTTATTCAAATAATGATAATTATTTTCGTAATTTTTATTTTAGCCACCATCCATCAACAACAAATATCAAATAACTCCGTCGAGTCTAAAGGCCCATTTAGACATACATTCTCTCTTCTTCTCTTTTCTTTTTCTTTTTTTGTCAAAAACTACTTGATTATACATAGTTTGAAGTTGGAAAAAAATCCTCCAAAAAATTTAATGTTTTTTTCAAATATTAATTTTGATAAAAAAATTAAACATCTCTAAATTCATATTCAACTGTCTGTTAGTTTTATTCTATTGAGTAATTGAAAACTTAACTTCAGGTCATATTCAAAGTTCACAAACCAAACAAGAAATGTTACTCGCACTAGGCAAATGTACAGGGATGAGTTTGGCTTAGAAGGCATTGATAGAGAGAATCAATCCCGACCTGACTTTCCTTATGAGATACCACCTGCTGCACCAATTCAGTCACCCTACAATTAACAACAGTTTAAAATTGTCATCGTACACCTATACAAAAGAAGGTTAATAAAGTGGCAGTGGCTGAATGAGTTGATGGAGCTAGACTTTTCTCATTCCCACTGAATATGGAAACTTGTTTGTACGACTTCGCTATTGTGAATTTATACAGTTTTAATGGTCAAGCAAAGACACAAACGAGCAATTTATACATCGATATATATAGACAACTTGAAATACATTCAAGAATTGGTTGCATTATATTGCTCAAGAATGTTACTGAAATAGCTTCCTCCATGTTGATACTCTTTTGGTACAAAGGAAGAGAACTTAATGTTGATATTTTATATGTGAGTTGTGGCTCCACAACAAAATGGAAGTTATCATTACACTCATAAAACTATATGAGATTTTTCTTCCTAAAGAAGCGCTTCAAATACCATATTTGCGTGGCTGCAGCCAATATGCAGAGACTAAGGGACATTCCACTGAACCATGCCACAGCTGCATTCGTTCTCTCACTCACTTCACTCATTTCTTCTTCCCTGCAAGTTTAATCCACAAGAAACACGTTAATTTTGAGGTTTTATCTATAATTTTTTAAAAATTTACAAACATTTGTTGGATTGTATATATACATATGTCAAGTTTTAAACATTCGTGATTAATTAGTACTTCTGAAACAGAGGCAGTTAACCAACACGACATTCTCTGTGAAATACTCCAAATCTGTATGCTATTATATACATACAATGGACCTCTCTATTGCTCCGTAAACTTCAACCATCAACTTTCTGAGGCTATTAGTTCCCCAGCTTGACATTAATTATATGTAGTATCCTTCCAGCAATCCGTTAATTACTCATTGATCTGTTGAGCTTCTCTCTCAATTCAACCATCAAGACAATATCTCTACTCCGGGATCAATCCTTATATCTCAAGTTCCTCTCTATTTTAGGCTGACTTTTCAGGCTATCGAGTCCACCTTATCAATTCTAAGCTCATTACTTAGCCTAATGAGTGTATGGTTCTGCTCCAAACATATTCCTCAGACTTTAAAGTTATTTCGGTCTTCTCAAAGAGAAACTCATCCACATGTAGAACTTAGAACTGTACGTTAAACGCGTAGGAGATTTTAAAGGATAAACTTACATAATATAAGTTGTGTAAAGGAAATATGTGTTTTTTTTTGTTGGGCCACTGATCTTTCCATAGCCTTAAACTTTTTGGGTTAGATGTTCAAATTCTTTCACATTTTTGGCTAATCAAAATGAACCATGAAGTGTGCGGAGTATGATGATATTAAAAAGAGCAGCAAACATATAAAATCTGGAGAAGCTAATTAGAAGCAAAATTTAGCAAATTTAAGACTCGAAATCACCTCTTCTTCATATAGATTAATTTTTCACGGATGGATTGCACCCATGCCTGGAATTTCATCAGCACAAGTTCAATGTCCTGCAAGTAAAGGTAAAAGTAGAGGAATAAGGAAGAATACAAGAGAGCTTCCTATTCTGCTCTCCTCGTGATTATGAACTTACTTGTATCTTTTCTTTTCGAGCAATTGAGTACCAATCCTTGGCAGCAATCCCAATTTTCCAGTCAAGACCAATATGTACAGCTTTACCATCAGGAGTTTGGCTATTCATGAAAAAGCACGCCATATAGTTTCCAGGCTCAGTCGTTGTAAAACCAAATTCACCATTTGTAACATTATTTTCATGGTGGAGAATTTTTCCAAATGGTGATGTAACCTGAAAAGTATTAACAATGTTCACATATTTGTGCAGATGCAGAAGTAATCCCATAATTTAATAACCAAATTCCAATTACTTTTCTGAGATGAATCGTTTAATTACCTTAAGGGAGATCAAATCGCGAATAAAACTATATTGATTCTGCTCATTGATACCAACAATAGCATACTCAACCAAAACGACGACGTTATTACGGATTTCTTCATACACACATTTAGCCCCTGAACTCGGCATTTCTAGCCATAACGCTTCCGCCATTGTCATCGCCATCGTCACCACCACCAAAATTAATTTTAATACCTTCATCAACTTCATTCTCCTTCTTTTTTTCTCCAGAAGCTATATCTCGTGCCTCTAATTAAAAAAAAAAACAGAGAGAAGAGAAGAGAAGTTCTAAAACGTATAGGCGTAGACTGTGTATGGTAAGCAAGCCGGCATTTTAATAATTTTCCAAAAGTGTACTTTTGTCAAAGTGAGAGGGAGATTCTTTTACAAAGGAAAATTAAATTCAATGCTTGGACAAAAATATCACTCTCTTAATTTTCAAAGAGAATTAATTTTATTTTAATAAGTTGGTCAATTTTATTTTGTAACACAAAAAACACTTCATAAATGTTTTCGGGATAATTTGAGAAACTTTTCCTCACACTTTACCTTATGAGTAACACTTACTTTCTTTGTGGTTATAGATATTACACTTTTTTTTTTACAACCAAAATTATTTAAATGGTAATCTTTAAAAAAAGAAAAATCAAAAAATCCTTTTTGTGACATTAATTTAATTATATAATATTTCTATGTGACCAGTACCTTGAGCAATATTTTATTGGGTTTAGCTTATCTTCACTACTCTTTTTTCTATTTTCTCCACGTTCATGTTTAGAAGTATGAAATTTGACTTGTTTAAATATTTACGATGCAGATCTTTAAGTAATCAAATATCTTGATTTTAAGTAGCACTAGATTTTCGTCCCAAGGTATATTATTTAAATATCACTAAATTAACGCTCAAATGTGTGTAAGTTGATTTTACTCTACTTGAGAAACTGAAAACTTAAATTTCAGTAAAAATTCAAAATTCACAAACCACATGAGAGATGTCAATTGTACTAGGCAAGTGTACCATCTGCTGCACTAACTCGTTCATGCTGACGGGTAACAACAATTTAAAGTTGTCATGGTACACCTATACAAAAGAAGGTTAATAATGTGATGAGTTGAGGGAGCCAGACTTTGCTATTCCCACAAGGAAGATGAACATGGAAACCTGTTAAGCACGACTTCACTTATTGTCAAAACAGCCACGATTTACCCAGAAATTTAAAATTGTTTGGATAAAGTGAAATGTTGTTTTCATTCACCAGTAATACACTATTTGTTTGATGGCAGAAATTAAGCGTCATGGCTTTAGAGCAAAATCTAGACATGAACGAGCAATTTGACTGACTCATCGACATATATAAATAACTTGAAAGACATTCAAGAATTGCTTGAATTATATTGCACAAGAAATACACTGAATTGCTTCCTCCATGTTGACACTCTTTTGGTACACAGCAAAAGAATTCGATGTTGATATCTTATATGTGAGTTGTGGTTCCACACAAAAGGAAAGTTATCGATCATTACATTCATAAAATTATATGAGTTTTTTCTTCCTAAAGAAGCGCTTCAAATACCATATTTGCGTAGCTGCAGCCAATATGCAGAGACTAAGGGACATTCCACTGAACACCGCCACAGCTGCATTCGTTCTCTCACTCACTTCACTCATTTCTTCCTCCCTGCATGTTTAAACCATGAGAAACACATTAGTTTTGAGGTTGTATCTATAATTTTTTAGATCTTACAAACATTTGTTGGATAATATATATGTTTGGTGATAAATAAATAAACAAATTAAATCAAATTTTAAACATTCGTGATTATTTAGTAGTTAGTACTTCTGAAACAGAGGCAATAAACAATATGACATTTTCTGTGAAGTACTCAAAAACCGTAAGCCATAATACCATGACAACGTTACAATGGACCTCTCTATTGCTCCATAAACTTTTAACATCGGAGGCTACATTAGTGCCCCAGCTAGCTTGTTATAAATTACCTATCCAACAATCCGCCAATTTCTCATTGATCTGTTCTGGGGATTCTCTCTCAATTCAACCATCAACCCGTTATATCTGCTACAGGAACAGTCTTTCACTCTCGGGTCTCTCTATAATTCAGGCTGACTTTCCAGTCTATCAAATTCACCATCTCAATTCTATATGCCCTCTACTTAGCCTATATATTGAGCCTATGAGTCTACTCCGAACTTATTCCTCATCCTTTAAAGTTACTTCGGTCTTCTCAAAGAAAAACTCATCTACATGTAAAACTTAGAAGTACTACTGTGTTAAACGGAGACTTTAAAGGATAAACTTACATAATATAAGTTGTGTAAAGATTTCCAATTTTATTTTGAGCTACTTTACCCATAGGCTTAAAGTTTTTTGGTCAGACGTTTGAATTCCTTTCACACTTTTGGCCACTCAAAATGAACCATGAATGCGCGGGGATGGTAATATTAAAAAGAGCAGCGAATATTTATAATCTGGGGAAGAAATGAAGCAAATTTTAGCAATTCCAAACCCAAAAATTACCTCTTTTCTAGATAGACTATTTTTTCATGGATGGCTTGCACCCATGCCTGGAATTTCATCAGCACAAGTTCAATATCCTGCAAGTAAATGTAAAAGTATAATAATACAAGTTAAAAATTCAAAAAAGAAAGAACACAAGAGCTCCCGATTCTTCTCTGCACACACTGGAGTATATTGATATAATTATGAACTTACTTGTATCTTTTCTTTTCGAGCAATCGAATCCCAATCCTTGGCAGCAATCCCAGTTTTCCAGTCAAGACCAATATGTACACTTTTACCGTTAGGAGCTTGACTATTCATGAAAAAGCACGTCATATAGTATCCAGGCTCAGTCGTTGTAAAACCAAATTTACCACGAGTGACATTTTCTTCATGGTGGAGCTTGTTTCCAAATGGTGATATAACCTGAAATGAATCAAGAATGTTCACATAATGTCCATGTAAGTTGTAACTGTACCATTATTCGAATCAGTGTAAAATATAAAATTATTTTTTTTCACAACTAATCTGAATTCAAGATCAATTAATAAACTAGCTTTAGAGTAATTCATGCTATGCAACTTGATGAGAAAATGCTACATCCGCGTTTACAACACCTATACTTTTTTTGTTTGTTTCAAAGGTGATGCATCGATGTCCTTGAGATTGTATACTCTTTTATTTCATCACAAAGAACTATTACGAAAGTTGGATATTGGTAAATCAAATCCAAATTCTATATGATTAGAATTGCCACATACTTGCAACGTGAATTGAATAATCAATTATTGAATGTAGCTTCAACTCTCCGAAAATATTGCCTAGCCAGTATCGGATCCTTAAAAGAATGCACTTATTCCGGAGAATCTGATATGCAGTAGCCATTTTTTTAAGAGTCCGGGCATCTACATACATATAGCCTATAATTTCTATATTTTTATCATCTATCATATCAATTTTTAAATAAAAGTTGTTGTAGAAACAAAAACAAGGTTCTAATCCCAAAATTTAATTACCTTAAGGGAGATATCGGGAATAAATTTAGGTTTGTCGGGCTCATTGTCAACAATGACAGCGTAATTAACCAAAACGACGACGTTATTACGGATTTCTTCATACACACATTTAGCCCCTGAACTGGGCAATTCTAGCCATATCGCTTCTGCCGCCGTCATCGCCATAGTCGCCACCACAAGTAATTTTAATACATTCATCAACTTCATTCTCCTTTCTTTTTATTCAGAAATCGAAGAAGCTATTTTTCGCGCCCCTAAGAGAAAAAAAAAAGAGAAAAGAGAAGCTCTAAAATTTATAGACTGTGTATAGTAAGGAAGCGGGATTTTCATAATTTTACAGAGAGCATTTTTGGTCAAAGTAGGTGAGACAGATTTTTTTTTTCTTAACCAAGGAGACTTAAATGAACAGCTAAAAATGGACATATAGATAAATGAAAATCACTTGATAAATATTAGGGGTAATTTGAGAAACCTTCCCTCATGGTTAACCTTATTATGGGTATCGAACTCACCTTCGTCATTTTCATATTTTTAAATGTTTCGTCAATATTCCAAAATTATAATTTGTGACATTAATGTAATTATTTAATATTTCTACGTGATCGATAATCAGAATATTGTTTTATTGAAAAAACTTAAACTCACATTTCCAAAAGCAAACTCATAAGGAGGTCCAAAAGCAAGCTCATAGGGAGGAGGATTGTCCAAGCCTTATAAAGAGTTCATCCATTTCATTAACTACCTATGTGGACTTTTGTCATTTTTGTCATTCTTTAACATAGAGAGACAATTTGCAATAAATTAGACAATCAACATAAATTTTGTCAATTCATGATCATAAATTTTGTCAATTCATGATAAACTTTAATAAATACATTGAGCTTAAATAATAAAGGAGAGGTAAAAGATTACTGTTACATATAAAGCTAAATTTTAGGGGTGGTTTTAATTCAACTATTGTCATTTCTCCAACTAATTCAATCATACGGCTTACAGATATTATTGACATAGAAAATTGAAACGATATTTGTCACTATTGTTAAATTAGATTCCAACTCCGATCAATCTCAGAGTTACAAAACAATATAAATCAGGAGAAAAAGAACGGAAATATTTTGTGTTGATATTTTATGATTTTATCTGTATGTAATTGTAACCTATGGCCACAAGAAGAAAAACTATATGAGATTTTTCTTCCTAAAGTAGCGCTTCGAATACAATATTTGCACAGCTGCAGACATAATGCAGATACTAAGGGACATCATACTGAACCATGCCACTGCTTCATTCGTACTCTCACTATCAATTTAAGTTTAAACATTTTGTGTACGACTTTTGAAACAGATGAAATCAACAATGTGACGTTCTCTTTTAAGTACTCCAAATTCGATCCACCACAGACCACAAGAAATTGCAATAGCATGGATCTTCTACTACTTAAAATTATGCCATAAACTTTGGGAGACTATAGTAACCCCTGTTTATTCATACGGTACATTACCTCTTTTTTAGGTACAGTAAGTTTTCATGGATGGCGCCAACCCTTTTAATTTCATCAACTCAAGTTCTACTGGAAAATGAGAAGCAAACAACACAAGTTAAAAGAAATTACAGTAAGGGCACTGAGATTGGCACCGGGAGGAGGGTAATGTCATTGTGTACTTGTATCTTTTCTTTCCGAGCAATTGAATCCCAATCCTTGGCATCAATTCCAATTTTCCACTGAAGAGAAATAGCCACACTTTTATTACCTAGGACATGACTATACATCCGAAAGCACACCAAATAGATTCCATGCTCAGATGTTGTAAAAGCAAATCGACCATAAATGACGTTTTCTTCATGGTGGAGGTTGTTTCCAAATAGTGATGAAACCTGAAAAGAACGTTTGGATCATATTGTCATTGTTAATCTGAACTAAGTATGGCGGCGGTATCGGAACCGGGTGAACCGGACCGGTAAGTTCCGGAACCGGGACGGAACCGGTACTGTGCGAACCGGTACCGTTCCGGAACCGGGACCGGTAAACCGATAAATTTTGTCGTTTTCCGTTCCGGTCTAAAAGGAAATCAGTAGTATATCGGACGGGACCGGATCGATAAACGAGACGGACCGGTATTAAAAAAATAATTTAAATTATTTAAAACTTAAAGATTTAATTTTTTTTAATTGAATATAATTTTTATTATAATAATTAAAAAATTAAAAATTTAAATTTCAAATAAATATCAAACTTTAAAGTTATAAAATTTAAATTTTCAAACTTTTAAAGTTTGAAATTTAAATTTTATAAACTTTAATGTTTGGAAATTTTAAATTCAAAGTTTAAAGTTATAAAATTCAAATTTCAAACTTTTAAAGTTTGAAATTTTCAAATTCAAACTTTAAAGTTATAAAATTTAAATTTCAAACTCTTAAAGTTTGAAAATTTTAAATTCAAACTACAAAGTTATAAAATTAAAAATTGACAATATTAAAAATTAAATTTAATACAACAATATTAAAAAATAAATTAAGACGAATAGCCTATATTTTTATTGATATTTATTTGATATTACAATTACATTAATTACATTTACAAAAATGTTACTAGAGTATTAAAAGATTTAATCTACACAGCCACCTACTGAAAATCTCGAATTATCATACTTTTACTAATAGTTGGTGCCACCATATAAATTCCTTCGTAAATCATTCAACATTTCTTTAGTAACATGATCGGGGATTGGTGGAATAGAAAGATGTTGCATTGCTTTAATCCCGTTCGTCACTATAATCCTCCATTACTTCATCAACGTCATCTTGAAATTTGGTCGGTAGTGTTTACGACCCACATTTCTTCTCTCGGCATTAATCCAATCTCGAAATAATATTGATATCTCCAAGCTGTCGGCTGCTAGTGAATGCCTATGTTCTTCAAGTTGAAACCTTGTTGCACTAAAGACACCTTCCGAAGCTACTGACGACGCTTGCATTGCTAATATATCTCAAGCCATCGGTTGTAGTTTTGGAAATCCTTTGCCACGATTTCTCCACCATGCTAGAATATCTTCAGTAGTTCTGTATTTTGATTAACATAGGCATCAAAATCATTCCATCAAATCTACTCCTAGAGCTTTGAGGTTCATTTTCACTTGATAAATTTATATTAGCATTATATAAATCATACAATTTTCTACCTTCAATTTTTATGCTATCTTTAACTTTTTAACAACTAGGAATTTCTTCTAATACGTCATTAATATCTAAGTTAAAATACATTTTTTCAATCATTTTTTATGCACCTACATCTTTATACTGAGTGTTTAACAAACATGTGGTTAAATTTGAGGAATAGGAATCTAATAGTTTTTAAATTTTAGAATCATTTTTTCAATGGTTTGTTGAAATCTTGGTTTATTTTTAAATTGATATAATTTAGAAGAAATCGTACAACTATCAGACAAAACAGTACAAATTGATGGACTATAAAGTAAAGATATTCTTTTTGTAGTTAAGTAAAAAACTTTTAGGAAATCTATAATTGCATTTATATCACGCCAATCACTATCATCTAGTGTATATGTCATATCAGAATTATGAGCATTCCAAATCATTTGTAAGGGTATTCTATATTCATAAGCGAATACGAGCATTTCATATAAAGTATTCCATCTAGTAGCCACTGTTTTTGGAATTTTTCTAGGTGGAAGATTATTTTCAAAACAACGATTTTGAAATTTTTTACGCCTAGACTTAACTTGACATTTAAATATAAAATGACATGCATTTTCAACTTTCGTACATCCGTTATCATACATATGTACACCATCTCTAACCAACAAATTATATATATGTGCAGTACACCTAATATGATAATTATCACCATAGAAAAGACAAAGAATAGGTTTTAAATATTCAACAGCAGCATTATTACTTGAAGCATTATCTAAGGTTATACTACTTATTTTATCATATATTTAATAACTTTGTAAAATATCTAAAATAGTTTGAGTAATATAACTACCAGTTTTTTGCATTTGACAACATTTATAACCTAAAATTCTTTTTTGCATATATCAATTTTCATCAAGTCAATGTGCAGTAACAGTCAAATAATCGTTACCGTTTACACTACGATCCATATCAGAAGTAATAGTTATTTTACAAGTATTATAATAAAATAAACAACGAAAATATTGAAAATGGTGTGCATGATAATCAAATACAACCTTTTTAATTGTATTTCTAACAAAACCTTTAAAATTTGGATTATATACAATTTGAATATAATGTATAAAATTGAGATTTTTAACAAAACTAAATGACAAACCCATAACACATATCATTTTAGCTAGTTCTTCAAGATCTTTTTCTCTACTATATGAAAGTGGTAAACTAGAGCCAGAAACATTAGACGGATTTAATTGTGTTTGTACCATTTTAGAGCCGCCTACTCCTACATTTCAGGAAGGGGGTACCATTTTTTTTAGCTTCCGCTGCCGCTTTAGCATGCAAAAATTCATTTTTACAACAAGATATTAAATGACTGCTCAAATGTCCCGTCTCGCCAGATTTACCAACAGTTTTATGATTTAATCTATTTTTACATTTATTACAAATAGCTTGTGTTTTATCTTCATTTTGTGTCATAAATTGCCAAACAATCGATTTTTAGCACGTTCTACCTTAGGCCTAGGATGTACGGGAGGAACAGGGGCAGAACAACGAAAGGGAGCGGGACTGTGAGTATTAGTAGTCGTAGGTGGCTCAGTTTCATCATCATCATCATCAAAAGTAGGTGTATCAGTATAATTATCAATATCATTATCATTATCATTATCACTAGGCAAATCCTTACCAAAATTACCAAAGCGACGTTGTAAATGTTCATGATAAGGATCTAATCCTGAATTACTATCAATATTAAAAATCGTATCATCAACATGTGTATAATCATCCGTATTTATTCTTATAATAGTAGATTTTTTAGTCTTTGATTTAGAAGAACTACCGATTTTTGCATTATCGGAGGATGTAAAGTTACATATATTTTTTACACGCTCAAATGCATTTTTTTTACCCTTTCCTTTTTGAACAATATTTTTATCGAAAACCATATTAAAATATTACGTGAGATTATATATAATACGAAAAATGTAATGCAAATAATAAATCACAAAATAAATAAATAGTTATTTAAATATAAATGAAATATAAAATAAAAATTGGAACGAATGTACCGAACGTCTACTTAAAAAAGTAGACGTTTATGACCGCCGAAAGCCGAACGTGGAAAGTTGAAAGTTGAATTTTGAAGCTCCAAATTCAATTTCCAAAGACCAAATAAGGCAACACCGTAATTTAAGATATTATATATTAGAGAATTAGAGATTAGAGAGTAGAGAGTTGAGAGAGTAAAATATGAATAGATGATTTTGTGATTTAAAAGAATGAAATTTAGGGGTATTTATAAGTAAAAAAATGGGTTAAGTGTAATTTTTAAAACTTTAGGGTATTAAAAAAGTTTGGGGGGGGGGGGGGATAGGAGTGTAAGTGGCTGAAATTTGGGTCAAATAGCCATTGGGGGGGCCCACTAGCCGTTACCCAATGGCTATAAACGGATAAATTTTTTTATTTTTTTTAAAAATGACCGGATCGATAATTTTCGAAATCAAGAGGGACCGGTAAAT